CAGATGTCTCTTTGGGACAGACAATAGAAGCCTTTGCATCATGCGTTGTTGGACCAGATTACTTCTGGTGCCAGTTTTCGAACTCTGAAATACTTGACCAAATCACCCTTGTTGCCCAAGAATATGGAAACTCTAGTGAGAGACAGCCGATTAAGCTGGATGATTTGGATCCTGGAAGCCCATGCCTGGCTCGTTTCTGTGACGATCAGATGTGGTATCATGCGCAGGTTATTGATAAATGCACAAACACTGTATCTGTCCTTTTTGTTGACTTCGGAAACGAGTCTGAAACCAGTGAAGGCTCTGTTAAGGCACTGCCTGTGACTTGCTGGAAAGCCCACCTCAAGCTTTTCTGTGCAGGTTGGAAGGGTTTGATCCTTCCAAGGGATCTTGGGACAGTGCAGCTACTGATAACTTCTACGGGCTTTTAATGGATAAACCTCTGAAACTGACTGTGCAGTGAATTGACAGTACAACTGATCCTAACAGCCCTCCATATTATGTTAAAGTTCACAAATCACAAAATGATCAGAACTCTTCTGAGGTGATTGAATCCTGTGAAACATTCATTACATCAACATCTGATCAACTTGTTTCAGAGGATAAAGCAAGTGTGAGCCTTGCAGTTTCTACAGAGGATATGCACACAATTGAATCTCATGGTGCAGAACAACATGGAGCTAATCAGATTGCACCATTAGAAGTAAAAGGTGACTTGCATGGTGTACCTGAAAACAAGGTGGATGATCAGCTTGATGGAGCAGATGTGATTGCTGCTGTAACAAATTCTGATGTCACTGCTGATGATCCTACAGGGATTCATTCACCAGATTTAGAAATCCATGAAGTCTGTCATGAATCTGATGATGGAGTTCCTGTTGTATCAGCTGAGCAAATGCTAAAGATGTAGAAGATGGAGGATCTGAAAAAGGTTTGTATGCGTTTCTGTACCTGATTATTCTTCATATGGGATAAAATTATTTATTTTTAAGACTTGATAATTAGTCACAGGCGTATTTTGCTTGCTTTACCATGCTTATTTATTTTTCAGAGGACAACCCGACGATGACAAGCAGAAGTACAGATTGGGTAGCTGGTTTAGAAAATCCAATGTTACCCATGGTATTTGCTTTTTTGTTTTTGTTTTTTTCTTTGGTATGTGGGTTTTTAATGAGTAATCTTTTTTTTAATGAATAACTGTATTTCTTTATTTTGTAGGTTTGCACTGAAGATTCATGTGACTCTGTTAAGTGCATCTTCAAATGAACAGAATTTTAAACTTTATTTATTGTGAAAAGGTATCATTTGTTTTTCATGGGGAAAATGAATTTAAACTGACAAATATTTGTTTCAAACAGACTCAGCCTTTGAAAGATTAGAGATTTTATTTGCCGTGTTGTACGGTGGCAGAGAAGTGCACAGCAAATCACAATTCTGAAAACAAAATAACAAATTACAAACGCAAATGCAAGTCTAAAAAACAAAATAACAATTCAGAAAGCACAACAACAATTCAGAAAACATTATAACAAGTCAGAAAACACAATGACAAATTCGAAAACAAAATAACAAGTCAGAAAACACAACGACAAATCCGAAAACAGATTTGTCGTTGTGTTTTCTGACTTGTTAATCTGTTTTCGGATTTGTCATTGTGTTTTCTGACTTGTTATAATGTTTTCTGAATTGTTGTTGTGTTTTCTGAATTGTTATTTGTTTCTAATTGTTAATTGTTCATTTTTGGTTCCACAAAGAACCATTCAGTCAAAGGTTCTTTAAAGAACCATCTCTTTCTTACCTTTTCGTAATCTGAAGAACCTTCTTTCGCCACAAAGAACCTTTTGTGTAACAGAAAGGTTCTTCAGATGTTAAAGGTTCTTTATGGAACCATTTAGACAAAAAGGTTCTTCTATGGCATCGTGAAGCACCTTTATTTTAATTGTAAATTTAAATGATGATTGTTCAGAAAGTACACGCGTTTCATACCACAGTCCTGCTCTTCCTTCACCCCGAAGTCTGTAGTGGAGTTTTTTCTCCTTATTGTGCAATAGTGTAGTCATTTTTCTTTATCTTGATGTGTTTGAATCGTATGTTGGAATAAAACCTGTTCATAGAATTGAATTTGTGTTGATTCAAAAAACTTTCCTAACACTGCCATTTTTAAACTGCTAAAAAATTACATTTTATATGTGTACTTGACACAATTTAGTTAAAATGTTTTCCTAATACACGGTGTTTGTTCTAATGCATAAGTGTTTTTTTCTCACTCTCTACTGCCGTAATTTGCTGGGTTTCAATGAATGCGCCACAGTAAGTAGGCTAAATCTGCAATCATGACACTCGAAAATAAATGTACAGTAAACTACGTAAGCGAATCTCCTGAATATATATGTGTCTTTCAGAATTTCTATAATAGACGTCCCTATTGTTTCTCATTTCACAGTATCACCGGTAGAGGCTATGCTTGTCGTTTCGCATGAGACATACAGTACAAAGTTCTTTCTCAAGGGGGCGCACAGCGGCTCAAACTCCTTCGACGAGCAGCGTTCAGATCTAATGGCCGTTTTATTTTTTATCCGAACTAAAACATTTGTACATTACAATGCATACAAATATATATAAATTCAGTGGAGTGGTACCTGACACGCAAACGTGAATCCGCCCAAACAATCTATCTTAAATTCCTTAATTGTCACAAGTGATTGGTCCATGATGAACTACGCTGAGAAAAGTAACTGGTATCACGTGACAACGCCGTCTGTATGCTACTACAGTTATTCTGTACAGTAATGTAGCGCGAAATCAAAATAGACATTAAATTGAAAATATATAGTGAATATTTGTTTAATAGAATAATAATTATTTAGATGTTTATTTAAAACCTTTTGTTTTTTTTCAATGGGTAAAGCCCGCGGTCGAGTTGCTGTGGTAACAAGTCAAGCGAGAAAAGCAACACAGAGAGTAAACCGAAGGGTTTCAGTTTTAATATTACTGATTAAAAAAGATGACAGAGTTGCATCAGGCAGCAGCTTCTGGAGATTATGATCTAGTGGAAGAAATTGTGGGGAAAAAATCGTGTGACCCTAATCAGAAAGACTTAGACTGGAACAAGAAGACCCCGTTGCACTGGGCAGCATCCAAAGGCAGGTTATAGCCTACTTTAGGGACCAAAAAGTGCTGTTTTATTCAAAATGTATAAAAAAAACAATCATTATTATAACTTAATAGTCTTTTACAAATGACATGAATATGGTAAAAATGTGACCTGGATATTAACCCAGTTTTCCCAGGCGGAAAAAAATTGCACTTCCATAATGTACTTAAAGTGCTCTATTTTCACGCACTAATTTTGTACTTAATATGCTAAAAATATACTTTAGTACTTCTTAATCTTAAGAACATCTAAGTGTACTAAAATGTGCTATTTTGAGACACAGTGAACTAAAATGTGCTTTTAACATACTATCTCTGTATTTTAAAAATGTATTTAGATACCACTTGAAGTAGACTTGAACCCATCTTTCATACACTAGTGGGTTCAAGTGTACTACAAGTGGTAAATAAATAAATTTTAATACTAAGATAGTATGTTAAAAGCACATTTTACTTCATATTCACGGTGTCTCAAAATAGCACATTTTAGTACACTTAGATGTTCTTAAGAAGTACTAAAGAATAACTTTTAGTATATTAAGTACAAAATTAGTGCATGAAAATAGAGCACTTTAAGTACATTATGGAAGTGCACTTTTTTCCGCCTAGGGTTCTTGCATGTGTGATGCTAATGCCATTTAACCTCTGATCTTGTTTAAGGCCAAACAGAGATGGTTCGGATATTAATTGAAAATGGAGCCAGGGCTTGTTTGAGGACGGATAATGGATGGACACCCGCACATTTTGCAGCAGAGTCCGGAAAACTAGCAGTACTTCGACTCCTTCATTCCCTACATGCACCTGTAGACAAGGAGGATTCCTCCGGCGATAAACCTGTCAGGATTGCTGAAATCTATGGACATGAAGATTGTGTTCTTTTTCTTAAAAAGTAAGATGAATCTATTGTTTTGTTTTCTGAATCACATTTGTGAAATAATCTGTTCTTACTGATTGAGGCATTTTCTGATGCTGTTTAGTCAAAGAAGTGGCAATGTGATCCAAGATGTTCAATGACAGGGTGTTCTCTACTTTCAGGGCAGAGGTTGAGAGCAGAAACTACCGGCAAATGGCAAAGTTAAATGGGCTGCTCTTAGACGATACTGATGAAGAATGGGAACAGGAGAGAAAAGAAGCCAATAAACAAGTCATTAAAAAGTAGGTTTTATCCAGCCATGAGAACAAAATACAAACTAATGGATGCTTATATTTTTGTTGCACATCTAAATGAAATGAAGAATATAGTAAAGATAGTAAAATATAAAAGAAAGCTTGGTGGACAGTAAAATTACAAGCCAAAATTAATATTCATTTATGACTGTCACCAGTTACGAGTAATACCAAGTAGGCTATATATAGACATACAAGCATAAATATATTTACATGAATATACATAAAACTGAATAAACCATTTTCAAAAATAAAAATTCACTCATTCACTAAATTACATGCCAAAATTCATATTCATCTATGACTTTCACCAGTTTTAAGTAATACCAAGTAGGCTATAGACATACAAGCATGATTATACTTACATGAATATGCACAAAACTGAATAAACCATTTTCAGATAGAAAAATTAACACATTTTCTAAATGATATGCCAAAATTCATATTCATCTATAACTTGCACTAGTTTTGAATAACACCATAGGCTATAGACATGCAAGCATAATTATACTTACATATATACAAAACAGAATAAACCATTTTCAGAAAGAAAGAAAAAAGAACCCAGTCACCCTGGCAGAAATCTAAAAACAAAACCATAATATGACTAAGATGACTACATCTAAATATATTTGTATCCTCTGAGCTAGGATATCACAAATAATTGTACAGTTTACTAGAAAACAATGTTTTAGAGCTGTTGAATGTGACATAATTTAATCCATGAAGTTTTTCAAGGTTCCCTCGAGTTTCATGTCTTCTCTTTCAGTACTTTTAGAAGGCACGGACTAAATGATTCACATGCAGATTTGGAATAAAAACAACATTAGAACAAAATATGTAGACACTGAATAAAATATTCTCAAGAGCACAAATGCAACTTACTTTTAATCTGTCCAGTCTTTATTTCGTCATAACTGAAGATGTCGCTTTGCTTGAGCTTTCACTTTTAGAATGCACTGATTGCTAATGTAAGAAAATGTGGGAACACGAGCTGTGTTATTTCATGTGTTCGTAATACATTTGGAATCTGTAAAAGCATGCATTTCTCTCGTACTTACTAACCTTAGATTGCAAACGCTTCAGAAGTGCATCACGAACCTTTGGGGAAAATGAAATATGATTATATTGAGCTTGACTGTAAAGTTTTTACAAACTAAAACCTTGCAAATGTGATCAGTTCTAATCAACTGATGCAAATAAATGTTATATTTTCAGTCTAAATTCCTTAAAGGGGTCATATGATGCGATTTCAAGTTTTCCTTTCTCTTTGGAGTGTTACAATTATGATCAATCATACGGAGGGCACGTGTATAGCGGGCATAGGTACCTTTTTCTCTCCCAAGCAGTTTGTCAGCAGTATCAAAAAGCCCTGCAATGAAATACAAGAAAATATTTTAATGTAAATGCACGAATAAACAGATAAAGTGTTTGATGCTTGACCCTTACCTGCAGCGAATTGAACAATGTAAATGCGTAGCTCACAATTTGGGCGAAAGGTTTTTGTGTAAGATCAAGGTGCAGCACCAAAACCCCGAGGAGCCAAGTTATTCCGAGGACAGGGCTTAAGAAAACTACTGTCTTAATCATACCCTTGGCAACGTCCTTGTGGTCCTGCGCCTTTGAATCCGACACAGCAGGAGTTACTATCTTCATGATCACCACAACCAGTGTGAACAAGTTTACCATCACAATAGTTAAGGCAGGAATTACAAAGGAAAAGAGGGAGCCCTTCAGCACACCCTGATATATGAGCCAGCAAGTGTCTGTGGAATAGTATTTACCTTCTTTACCGTTCTCGAAAGTAATGTAGGTTGTTGCCACACATATTAAAGGGCACACGTAACCAACAGTGATAGACAATACCAAAAAAACCTTTTTCCTCAGCTGGTCAAAGACAAATATCATTTGGTGAAGAAGCACGACACTTAAGCACAGCATCCAGAAGAAGACAGCGAGGAAAAAAAAGTGTTTGGCTACTGTAAGGATGGAGCACCAGTGTTCGGGGATTGCCTTCGGATCAGATGATGCTAAAAATCCACAGTGTGCAAACAGCAAGCATAAAGAGATGTTGACTAAGGCCGCGTGCCGAAAATTGGAGATGTCTGACTTTACAACTGCCTCCCATACCAAAAACTCAATGATTAAACACAGAACAAGTGAGACGACGGATATTCCTAAGCCAACATAGGTCAGTTCCTTCATATACGGAAGGGTCTCTGCATTTTTGGACATCATTACGGTGAAGGCAGAGTTGTGTGTACATGTGCACAACTTTTGATTTTCTGCACCACCCCATTTACACCCCTCTGAAGACCAAGTACTGTTCTTTTCATCCCAGAAAACACAATACATTTCATGATTCCGAAGTCTTTTTTCACCGTAATCGAACGTCATCTGGACAGAGATGGACTTCTTCTCATTATTTACAGTGGTGACTGACAAGATGGTGGTCTCTAAGGGCCTTTTTTCATACTGTGGTAAAATTTCGTGAAGGTTCCGGAATGCAACGACAACAACCCTATCATCTGGGCTGACGCTGGCATTAAAGTTGCTGCAATGTGCCCCTCCGGTCTTATTACAGACTGCCAGTTTAACATTATAAGAATTTTGAGGATGATTCATGGTCAGATTTGAGTTGAGTATAATTTGCTCAATAGTCTGTAGATATGTTACAGATAAATCTGTGTTTTTAGTTTGAGGATTGTTCCAGGCTCCTGTTTTATTCAAAGCGTTGCTTATAGCGCTGACAAAGTCCTGCAATGTAAAGTGAAATGCGATTAGACACAGGACACAGGAATTTTTTATTGTTTGTCATTTCATGTTGTTTCAAATTCCTTGGAGTTAATTTTTGACATGTTTTAATAACAACTACTCATCAAACTTTTGCAATAGATCTCAAAAAATAGCCCTGTTCCCAAAACAAATATTACTGAAGATTTTAAAGATGTTAAACAAAGAAACTGAAGAGAAAACATACATACAGGCATGACAGTATCATTCCATTGATTGAACTGCTGTTTAGATACATTGTTCATGGCTTCAAAAATAACTACAGATGCGTTAATATTTGCAAATGAGTTGAATGTCTCCACAGTGGTCGAATGCTGTATTCGTCTGAAAAGTCCGTCTGCATCATTCTTAATAAGGCCAATGCCTTTATTTAATATCTGTTATTATGACAGCAAAAAAACAAGGATTTAGTGCTAAGAGTAAATCTGTCCAGCAATAACGTCAGTAAATGAATACCAAAGAATGATACCTCTATATCCTTTTTAATGCCATGCAGGTCTATATTCACACAAGTAGAGATTTCGTCTTTCCACCCTTCATAGCACTTTTTCATTTTCGAACCAACATCAGAGTTCCCACAGGATATAATGGCTGTATAGGTGTGTTTTGTGATGGGCCACTCGTTATCTTCTTCACAGAATTGTGAATGGGCTGTATTAAGGAATAATGTACAGTACTATAGATTTGTTTTTCTCATCATTTTTGTTTTTATAATTACAATTCAAAAAATCAAGCGTAGCGTTAGTTCTGGCAGGTCACGTTAGTCAAGCTCGCATCAGCTGACTCTCAGCTGATCCCCATCTACCTATAGGAATACGACACCTATCTAAGCATTCATATAAGGTCCCTCAGTATTATCAGCAGTTTTCGCATTGCTCAATAGCTAATTACCCTCGGGATTCAGTCTTCTGATTATCCTTTGAATCAGACTAATTCTAAAATGTGTACATAAAATTATTAAAGAACTTATCGCTGCTCTCCCTGCTCTCATCCATGCTAGGCTGCATGGATGCGCAGGGAGTTCTTGCCCAGAACAGAACCATACCGCCAATCCAAACTGTATGCTAATTGTCAATCATCTTTGACGATAGTGGTCCTGACAGAAAAATAGTTGCTAGTTTTTAGTAAGTATAATATGCATCTGTTTGGAAGAAACAAAGTAATTCAGCTATTCACCCTCATCCAAAAACATTTCTTCACTCTCCCCCTTTACTCACTATCATGCCATTCCAAACCTCTATGACTTTCTTCATTATAAATGAAAGTAAAAGTGTACTGTTGAGTTTTAAAAAGAAAAAAGCACCACAAAAGTCATTCCAAATCATAAAATAGCATCATTATTCATTGTTCATCTTCCACTGCAGCTCTCAAAAGTAATTTTTGTAGTCTGCGTTTTTGCATTCCAATTAAGAGCTTCGACAGAAAGGAAGACTGGCAGTGAATAATGACTTTGTGATATCGTATGGATTCAGAAGAGTCATTTGAGCCACATTTTTCTTCTGAAAAGTGCATGTCTTTCACAATTTTTCAAAGACAAAAAGTTAAACAACACCAAAACTTACGAAGAATGACTGGGATCTCCACATATTTGGTTTTATTTTTGTTGTAAATGGCTCTGTTGTTGGTGAATGTACATGAAACATTCAGTGTCTCATTCTTATCCCTAATATATGATTCACAATTTATGATCGCCTCTGCTTTGTAAGATAAAAAATTCCCCTGGATTTCTAGAGAATGCAGGAATATGAAAATATGTTTATCACAAAGTATGTAAAAATAATAAATAAATATTTATCTTTCAATCACATTGTTAGCACTGAGAGAGCAAAAGTGGTAATGAGACGCTTACCTGGTCCTATTTCTGTGAAACTAAGAGCAGTATTCCATGTAACCGTGTAATTTTCTGTATTGTTTGAAATTTTACATTCAATGATAGCCTTTTTGAATTGGTTATTTCTACAATTAGGAAATTGGGGAGTGCTCATGGCCTGTATTTCTGGCAGAAGTGCTATGTCCAACTCTGTACTTGCTGTGTGTTTTATGGGCCCTTTTGTGTACACACACTGAATTGTTCCTATAGATAGATAGATAGACAGATAGATAGATAGATAGATAGATAGATAGATAGATATAAATGACACACATCACACTTAAGCTGAAATTAACGAACTCCTATTCAATTATTTAAATATTTAAAAATGAGTAAATATACTTTCAAAGTCATGCAGTTATCCTAATTGTGTATGTATGCAGAAACTTACCTTTCCAGCTTCCTGAAATATTTTTCAGATGAACAATGTCCTCCAAACTGTTGTTTGCGAAGCTGGCCTCTTGTCCTTTTGTGATCTCTGTTTTTTTATTCCACTCATCTATTAAGTACCACTTTACCTCTCCCAGCATTTCTTGTGGACGACAAGTTATAGTTGCCAGGGAGTCGATATCAATCGGACCCCGAGGACCATCAATAATGATGAAGCCTTTGGAGAAAATAACAAGGTGTGATTGTGCAAATAAACCTCTCTTTATTGCATACCATTATAAGTATTGTAAATAATAGTAAAAAAAAAAGTTAAAGGAATAGTTCACCCAATGAATGAATACTGACTAAGTTACCTGTTGTTTTCAGATCAGAATCAGGCAGATTGCTGGTTACGTTCTCCAACTCATTAAGCGTAACTGAACCCATTACCTGCACCGTATAATTTACGATCACACTGCCACTGCTTTAAATCAAATGGGAAACGTTACTACATTTCCTGCCATTTTTCTGTGTTTTATGTGTGTAGAAAGAACAGTAAACAGTAGCTGCCAGAGCTGTTTGTTATCATGATTACCTGTAACTGTTGATAATCAGAGAATCGAAATATTTCAATGTGCTGTATTTTTCCGCAAGCTAAAAGAAATCAAAATATGCTGGTGAGGTATATATACAAACAGTGCAAATAGTTGTAATAAAGTTAATCAAACCAACAATACGGTGACAGTTTTTAGGCATTGCAGGGTGACAATATGGTGATGAGTCATGTAAATGTAATCAATTAACTTTCAAAATGATTTTAGGAAAACATTTTTTTTTTTGCACTGTTGTGTTGATTTTCAGCAGTACATACCATTTTGGTAATTTTCTTGTTGTCGTCCTGGTAATCTTTAGAACCTTGTTTGCTTGGATCACATAAAAACATGCAAGACTCATTTGCAAATGTAGTCAATCCATTGATGCTTACTGGAAAAAATAAGAATCGTAGCATTCGATGACCAGTATTTATTTATGTATTTATGTATTTATTTTTCATCAAGAAATCCTGTGCCCACATCAAACAATACTCTATACCTCTTGTTTTAGGCAGACACACAGCAATGTCATTAACTTTCTGCGTGCAGGTGTCATTGCAGCAGTCATAATTTTTGCACATGTCCTCACTGTATGTGTAGTTCAACATGCATGAACAATTCTTATGCGTCTCATTCAGTGTGCAATCTGCAAACAAGCACATTACAGTTTTATTTTTTTGGGAACATCACACTGTAAAAAAAATTCCGTAAAATTTACGGTAAAAAAAAAATTCACGGTCATTTATTTATATTTATATTTATACATATTTATTTACAGCGCAGTTATTCAGAAATGTAGCAACTGCCCATAATTTCAATTTTTCTTAAACCTATATCATATGTTTGGGTCAGTTCCCTTATGCAGTACATTTTCATGTCCCCATCATATATTGGATAAATTATCATACCTTATAAATAAATCATATTAGCTTTCTAATTAGGTTTCATATTAGCTTTAATATCAGGTAAACAGGGGGTGAATTTAACTAAAAATTAAACTTAAAAATTAACAAATTGATTTAGAAACATTTGCTCTTTTTTTCTTCAATTGAAATCCTTCAAACTTCCAAATCCTTACTTCAATAAATCCTTCAAATCAATCCTTCAAAATGTGTATTCTTGGGAATATTATTTTAATTGGGAATCAGTGTATCATTTTTAACTATCAAAATAATTTTCCATCATTTTAGATTTTTTTTTAACTAACAAAAGCCAGTTCCTTAATAACATCATTCTCCAGGAACTGACCTCATTCCATCCTGTTTGATTGAGTTACACAGCAGCACTGACAAGTTTCTGTGCTTCTGAATGCATCCTTAAAATTACAGCAAGCATATTCATTCTTAAACTGTCTAATGCTCAACAGGGAAGACCCAATTGATATTTTATTTGCATTCTTTGTACTCTAAAAAATAGGGTGTTAATATGAAGGAATTCTCCGTACTTGAATTACACTTTGCATTGTGTTGTGTTTTGGGTTAAAGGAATGTCCATAAAATTAACAAATGTTGTGCAGGCAGAAAATGACCGATTTTTCTAATTGTTTTATTTTATTTTATTGTATTTTTTTTTTTTTATGTGTGAGAAGTTGAAGTGTAATTTCAAGCATTATATGTTGGTTTACCTGTTGTGATGCCGATGTTTGTTACAGATGCATGTACTATGTCGATGCGTGTCTGCTCTCTCAGAAGCTCAGTGATGTTGTCATACACCGATGACTCGATTTCAAGCTCTAACCAGTACACCTGTGTGGAACTCTCTGGAATGTTGCATTGAGACAGTATTCAGTAACATGTAGACGATTCATGGAAAAATGCATATGATTTATTCCATAGATTATTATTGATAATGAGCACTAAAAAATAGTTAATATGAAGGAATTCTCAGTACTTGAATTACACTTTGCATTGTGTTGTGTTTTGGGTTAAAGGAATGTCCATAAAATTAACAAATGTTGTACTGGCAGAAAATGACCGATTTTTCTAATTGTTTTATTTTATTTTATTGTATTTTTTTTTTTTTATGTGTGAGAAGTTGAAGTGTAATTTCAAGCATTATATGTTGGTTTACCTGTTGTGATGCCGATGTTTGTTACAGATGCATGTACTATGTCGATGCGTGTCTGCTCTCTCAGAAGCTCAGTGATGTTGTCATACACCGATGACTCGATTTCAAGCTCTAACCAGTACACCTGTGTGGAACTCTCTGGAATGTTGCATTGAGACAGTATTCAGTAACATGTAGACGATTCATGGAAAAATGCATATGATTTATTCCATAGATTATTATTGATAATGAGCAGAAATAAAATCTATATATACTACCTGCCACAGCAACCTATCAGACAAAAGTGTTAAATAGTTAATGCTAAATGTAATAAATTCTGTGTGTATAACTGAAGAACTTTTATAATGATTAAATATTATCCCACCTTAAAAAACAATCCCAGAAAAAGGAGAATGACACCCTTAGACAATTTCATTTTTGCGCCATCAATTTCTGGTGGATGGAACAGAGCGCAGTCATTCATATGAATATGCGCATATGCTTTCTATCAGTGACATCAATAATGCGATTTACATCTATTAATTTGCAACAAGTGATTCATCTTAAGGAGACATTAAACACGAGAATTGAATACAAAGATTTAAACTTTTTTCCAAAATAGTATAAGCTTACAGGGAGGGATATAAGAAGTATTGAAAGCAAATAAGTATTTTTTTATTTATTTATTTTTATAATAAATTGACCACAACAATATGTATTTATATACAATACCGGTCAAAGGTTTAGAATTTTTTTTTTCTGCTCACCAAGGCTGCATTTATTTGGTCAGAAATACAGTAAAAATAGTAATATTGTAAAATATTTTTGTAATTTAAAATAACTTTTCTATTTGAATATATTTTAAAATGTAATTTCCAGGGACGAGGGGAGAATGCTCAACCAATTCATAGAACTGACTATTCAAATTGACAATTTGATTCGTTCTCGTCGCCCTACCAGAACGATACCTACCAGTCATTCGGTTCCAATCACTTCTTCCTCCTCTTCTGTGGAACCCATGCAGCTCGGATACACTCACCTGTCTCCAGAGGAGCGAGAGCGCCGAATCACTCAACGTCTGTGTCTCTATTGCGGCCAAGCCGGCCATCTCCGGGCCTCCTGTCCCACACGACCGCCTCTTCGTAATCCCTCTGCGGTGAGTCCTTGCATTCAGGCACATCACTCCAGTACATGCATAAAAGTACCCATAACACGATCCATAGAGGGTAATAACATATCTACCTCAGCGCTATTGGACTCAGGGGCAGCGTGGAATTTTATGTCACACGAATTCGCCCAACACATTTCTCTAATCCCTTGCAGTTCTCTGCTGGCAGTGGAGGCGCTAGATGGACATCCTCTGGGTGATGGAAGGGTCATGCACACCACCGTGGACTTATGTTTGGAGACCGGGACTCATTGCGAAGTCTTGTATTGCCCCGGTGTACATTTCGAAGCGTTTCTTTCCGTGTCTGGCCTCTCTGTTTATTTTCCCAACTCTTGCTATTGTTCTTTGACTACTGATTGTTTGCTGCCTGCCCCGACCCTTTTGCACGTCCCTGACTAACGATTTGGCTTCTCTCCTCTGTTGTGTTTGACCTTGCCTGTTGATTACAATTTCAATAAAGCTGCAGATGGATCCTCACTCTGTTGACGTCTCGTTACAGATTTGCTGAGACACAATTATTATCAATGTTGAAAACCGTTGTGCTGCACTGTAAAAGATCAAAAGTTAAGAACTTAGAAGTTTAAGGCAGCCAGCTTCAGGACATTTGTGAGTTCTCAACTCCTTGTATTCAATTTATGACTCACTCCGTTTCAATGTATAATGGGTTTCCAACCACCGTTATTTCTATGGTCAGGAGAACCCATTGAAGTACCTGCTGTCAAGGACTGGCTCCAGAGGAGCGAGAACATCTGAAACCAAGCTCATATACACTTACTACATGCTGTTAGAAGACAAATCGCAAGCTGATCGTCACCGTCGCCCCAATCCTGAATACACTCCAGGGCAATGGGTCTGGTTGTCTACCCGAGATCTCCGCCTCCGACTCCCATGCAGAAAGCTCAGTCCCAGGTATGTGGGTCCCTTCCAAATTATTAAACAAATTCAATTTCAATAAAGCTGCAGATGGATCCTCACTCTGTTGACGTCTCGTTACAGATTTGCTGAGACACAATTATTATCAATGTTGAAAACCGTTGTGCTGCACTGTAAAAGATCAAAAGTTAAGAACTTAGAAGTTTAAGGCAGCCAGCTTCAGGACATTTGTGAGTTCTCAACTCCTTGTATTCAATTTATACAACAAAAAGTTGAGAACTCAAAAATCTCCTGAAGCTGGTTGCCTTAAACTTCTAAGTTCTCAACTTTTGATTTTTTTTTTTTACAGTGTGCTTCATATTTTTGTGGAAAAGGTCATACAGTACCATTTCAAAAGTTTAGGGTAAGCATCAATTTAATGTTTCTTGCTGAATAAAACTATTAATTTCCTTTTCAAAGAATGATGTTAAAGATATTTACACTCTAAAAAATGCTGGGTTAAATCTATTAACCAAAAAGCTCTAAAGCATTTTTTAGAGTGTATAATGTTACAAAAGATTTCAAATAAATACAATTCATTAAACGTTCTATTCATCAAAGAAGCCTAAAAAGGTTTTATGGTTTATACAATTTCAGCACTGATAATAAGAACCATTATTAATAATCGGAAACCAGTAATAAATGATAATTGAGCAGCAAATCAGCATATTAGAATGATTTCTGAAGGATCATGTGACACTGAAGACTGGAGTAATGATGCTGAAAATTCAGCTTTGATCACAGAAATAAATTACATTTCAAAATTCCTAAAGGATTGTTCTTTCTTTTCTTTTTTTTTTGCTTTATATCATGTTTTTGTAGCTATGTTGTATTGCTTTCTGTATGAAACACACATGGAAACCCACTGAAACAAAACTTCCCCAAAGGGATAATAAAAGCTACTACAATTAGAAAACAGTTATTTTAATTTGTAGTAATATTTCACAGAATTACTGTTTGTAATGTATTTTTGATCAAACGAATGCTTAAGATGTGCATAAGAGACTTCTTAATTATTCCACACTTTTGACCGGTAGTGAACAATAGCCCATGTCACTGCTAACAAGCAAAAATAGAGCTTATATGAAGAACACTGTCTAGAATCCATTAAACGTGTCAACGTACCCCTCTGCCTTCTCAGTCCTGACAGCAGTATTGTTCCGTGGATTCAGGGCGCAATTTTATAGCTGTGATCACGTTCATAAAAAGCTTCAAGCGGCCGTACAGACCATGTGAGAGAATGGAATGATAACCCGCTCAAAGAATATTCCCAATAACCCTCCTGATTTGCATTATTTCGGTCACATGACTCCAAATATAGCCTACTGTAAATGATACCACAGTTCCACTTAAAAATATATTTTTCTAGCTAAGGTCCATACATCAAAAGAATTTTGATGTTTCATAAAAAGAACACCATAGTTAGGTTGTTGTTGTTGTTTTTTTTCATAAATACAGTATACTGGAAAAAAGGTGTAGGATTTACTTTTCTTTCACCAAAAAACCTAGTAAATCTCACAAATGATTGTGAAGAAGCAGCAAGTAACACATTGAGGTAAACATGAAATTGTGTGTGTGTGTGTGTGTGTGTGTGTGTGTGTGTCCTTAAATCTGTCCTCACATTTTTATAGATCGTTACTTTACTAAGTACTAAGTGATCAGATGCACCATTTTCACCATAAACAGGTGAAAAAATACCACAGATGCACATTTAGCCAAATCTAGATAGCAGAATATCGTGGACACTTGAGGGCGCTGGACTTTTTGTCACACAAGACAGTAAGAAACCACACAAAACCCCCCAACAAGACCTCAGCATTCCGGTGTTTTTTTCAGCGGCAAACACCACCCACATTTTTTTACTATATAATTAGTTATCAGGGAGCACCATCGTAGACATTTTGGTCATTTGCGTCATCTGATTTGTAAATATGATCTAGAATGTAAATATGCATTTAGTAAAGACACGTTTTTTTGTATTATAAAACCGACAAATGACTCTGCTTATCTTGTGTCTCCAATACAGCCTTCTTCATTTGCATTTATTTTGCTTACAAGCAACATGTGCTCCTCATGTTCATGTTATAAACCTTATCTGGTCTTAACTCGTCAAACTTTATGACAGGTTTTGTTTTCTAACATGGTTTGCTTCAGTTCTTTGACTACAGAGGAAATAAAAGTTTAGATATATTATTAGATACAATGTTTTGACTATTCATCAAAACATTTACAGCTCATTTCAATTTTCATACAGTACTGTATGTAAGCGCAATTTATTGTGTATATACAAAACATATTTCAAGCATTAACGCAGAAGCTTAAGCTCAAACGCTCTAAAATGCATTATGGTAAAAAACAAATGCATTGAACACCACAGAATGTTCAAGAATAACCATCCCCCAGATGCTAGTTTGAATATCAGTAAAAATCCAGTTGTTTGGGGAATCAAGCCTCAAGGAAACAGACCCTGTCAACAGAAGGCTCATTCATTTACAATGTATAAACAAAAGTACCTACAGTCGCTAGTCACAAAAAATACTCAAAAAAGCACAACTGTATTTGCATTTTACTTTGCATGGCCTCATGATTTTTATGAACTGACACCTACTTTACTGACTTTTGCTTTTCTGTGATGATTTATTCTCATTTTTGTGTACTGCTATATTATATGCCAAACCCCTTTGAGTCCCCATGGAGATTTAAAGTTAATATTTCAACAATTGAACAATCTGTTAATGGTTTTCTGATGTTGGATAATGGTCACGTGACATGCAAATAATTTGTATTTTATGCAGTATTTTTATGATTTAGCTTTTAATCAATACATGAGCCTCCAACCAACCAATGGCCACGTATGCCATCCAAGATGTAGATGAGTTTGTTTCTTCATGGGTTCAAATTTCTTAGATAAATTTAGCATTGCATCACTTGCTCACCAGTGGATCCTCTGCAGTGAATGGGTGCCGTCAGAATGAGAGTCCAAACAGCCAGGGGCGTGTCTACGTGGTGGCCAGGGGTGGCACCGGGCCCCCCCTTGAAATTAGTGAGGGTGCTCTAGTCTTAAAGCACATTTTCACATATTTTGTCCCGTCTATTGCTATGGTTATCACTATGTCAAACACTGCTACTTCGAGAGCGAATCCCGCATAAATATGCAGATGTCATTCCCGAAACTTTGCAACGTGTGTGTGTGTGACCAAAAAACAAAGTTCTACATTTTAAATTGATTGCCTAGAAAGCTCGGAAAGAGCGCTCATAACCACTAAAAAGTTGTCACTCTTTGTTCATCGCGATCTCACAAAGTTCTGTTACCAATGAATCTCACACTGCGCAATTAATGTATTATTGACATCGTGTAATTCTGA